TAAACACCCAAGCTAACAACAAAAGGGGTTCTCTCAAATTAGAAAAAAAAGAGGGGTTCTATCCTACATGAATTCGCGAAAAATTGGGTGGGTAATGCTTATTTTTCATGGAACTAGTAAGTGACACGTGCGTTGCACGTGCTTTATGATTTTTCATAATATTCATATATAATATCTATCCCATCAATATAATATTACAAAATTATATAGGGAAAAAATTAATAAAAAAATATAAACACTAAAACTTATTCCAAGTACTTTATAGTTAATTAATAACTAATATCAATCTAAATGATATTGTTAATGATTTGTAAAATTAATTTCAAGTCCATAGCGAGCCAACTCGTGGAAAGATGATGCACCCAAAACCATATCTCTCGGTGATTTTAGTAGGTTTTTTTCCAATATTGATCACTATTAGAATCAATATTGGCCATTATTGATCACTATCTTGGTGATATTTGCCAATATTGATCACTATTAGAACCAATATTTCTTCCTTTCTTTATATGAACAAAACTATCCTTTGCACTTGTAAATTTATAAGGATAATTTTGTCATATTTTATTAACATAATAATTGATAGACAATGAAGACTGACAATGAAGACTTTTAATATTTATAGTCTTTACAATTAACAACTTGAGCTATGGTAAAATCATTAATTAATAATTATCACTAACTATTAACAACATTAATTACTGACAACATCGAGAGGGTTTAATTCCTACTCCGAAATGCACAATTCTATCTTTTATGTTTCATTTGCATATTTCCTATTAATTACTCTTCAGATAGAATTGCTTTGATATTTGCCAATATTGATCACTATTAGAACCAATTTCTTCTTGAAAAAGGTTAATAAAAAAATATGAACACAAAACTTATTCCACGGTACTTTATAGTTTATTAATAATTAATATAAATCTAAATGATATTTTTTAATGTAGATTCATGAAAATATTAATTTATTTTTCTTTATCTTAAGTCGCAGACTTCTCGTTCTTCAAATTTTCACACGTGTTATTTTTTCGTTGTTACTTAATTTAAATATCGTCGCAATATTAACTACTCTTTCAACAATTTTTTTTTCCTTGCATATTTTTTCGTAAATTATATGCATCAAAAGTAATTTTTGATATGACTATTCTTTTAATATCCTTTTACAATATTACTTTTGTTATTCTCTTTGACCCATAGCTAGAATATATAAACAGATTCCACTATATCGCGTGGAGTGATATTTTCATTTCTATGTTATTATAATTTACATCCAAATAAATAAACTAAAGTAAATCAAATTACATTATTTTATATGTAATTCACACCTACAAGCTATAATATTCATTTATATAATCTCCCTTTTTTTTTTAATGTTTTGAGGTTTGCCAAATTCAGTTTGAATTTTTGTAAATAATATTTGAAATCGAAACAGTACCAGGCTACTAAAATATTGGAAAAATATTTAACACCTCCCATATTTTATACTAATCTCTTGATACCTCACTTTATTATACAGTTTTCAGTTTCAGATCACTATTCACTATCACAACCACCTCAAAAAATATGCATTCAACATCAGGATCATCTTAATAGATCGAAAGTTTCAAAAAAATATGTTGCACGCTTTTGGAAACAATCTATTAGGAACAATTGCTTGGACGGCCATCCTCACAGAACTCTGGCCAATTTTTCTTCAACCTGGAGTTTGTTGTCACATTTACTGGAACAAATATTGTGACCTCTTAAGACATAATAATAATAAAAATAAAAATAGAAGTAAAAATAAAAATAAAGCAATTAGTAAGAAAATAGATTATGCCTCCCAACGAAAAAAACCAAACGATTATATAAATATATTTAAGAAATACACATCCAATATTATAACTTACAAGAATATTTATGAAGGAACTTAATTATGTTAGGCTTATGTTGCATCGTTAGATTTCTTCAAATAATAGGCAAATAATTGTTTTTTCATAAATAGGTAGATAAATACAATTCTAGAATAACTACCCAACAAATGATAAAGTGCCAATAAACATTCACGTAACGTATTTATTTTGAATTGAGAATTTACTTATGAATTCATATATATATATATATATATATATATATATATATATATATATATATATATATATATATATATATATATATATATATATATATATATATATATATATATATATATATATATATATATATATATATATATATATATATATATATATATATATATATATATATATATATATATATATATATATATATATATATATATATATATATATATATCCATGCACGAGACCAAATTAGGCTAAATCTTTGAAGACCTTTCTCTTCCCGGTGTGATAGTTAGAGCGTGGAAAGAGACTTAAAGCTCTAAGTAACCAATAACAAAAAGTACAACCAACACAAAGAAACTTAAAGCCACCATATATCCTACGAAAGTTTTGTCAAATAGAAAGAGCTAAGAGTTGGTTTTCAATTTACGATACTTCATTTTGCATCATAAAACTTTCGATGTCATTCTTTTTCGGCCATTTAACTCTTTACCACCAAATTAATAATAAAACATCAAATATAACAACAGGGTAAACTGCATAAAACCCCCTTGTGTTACGTAAAATCCGCTCCAAACACCTATGTGTTAATTTTATTGCATAGAATTCTCCTTTGTTTTATTTTATCTTACATGAAATCCCCCATTCCGTTAACAATTAACACCATTAACTATTAGGGTATTCCATGCAATTTATTCATAACACGAGGGGGTTTGGTGCATTTTTTCATCAACATATGGGGGTCGTAAGCAAAATATTTTATTTATTTAAAATTTGAATTATTTTTTAAAATTAAGTCTAATGGTAATGATGGTAATGATGAATTTTCTAGCAAGTTTCGTTTGTTTTTTTATTTATTTTTTATTTTTTCATTTTACCGTTTCCAATTCAAATTTTACAATTTTAGAACTTTTTCTTCATTTGGATTTCATTTCTTTTAAAACACAATTGCATCAAAATTGAAACTAATAATTTTTTTTGAAATTTCCAATTTTGAATAAAGAAATTATTTTATCAATGTATTTAGAAAAATATTATATTTATATTATCAAAATGTTTATATATTTATATAATTTAGGTTGTATGTATTATATGTCAATGAATATAAATTTTATGAAAATTTGAATTTAGTTTGATATAAATATTTAGATCAATAATTTTGAAAATTCGACTTTCAAAGATTGAATAAACGTGTTTGACTTAATTTCAAAAAATAATTCAACTTTAAAATAAATAAATAAATTTTACATAAGTTTCACTTTTATTGTAAATAACATGCACCAAACCCCCTTGTGTTATGAAAAACATGCATTGAATTCCCCAAAAATATTTAACGGTGTTAATTGTTAAAGGAATGGGGGATTTCATGCAAGATAAAATAAAACATAGGGAGATCCCACGCAATAAAATTAACACAGAGAGATTTGGTGCATGTTTTCCATAACACATGGAGTATTTATGCATTCAAATCATTTGCAAAACATCATATTTTCTTTTAAAACATTTGAAATTAAAAAGTAAACGATTAATTAGAAGAGAGAAAAAGTTACATGTACCAGTAGTAGTGGATGAGCATGTGATTCTTTAAGAACTTTAATCAATATTGAAGAAGGCAAATAAAAAAAGGGATAGAATATTAGAAGTATATCTAATGAGTTTTTCTTGGTTTGTTTTATTTTTTGACATTCCCAAAGACAATCCGATAGAATGTTCATGTATTCCTATTACCTGAAGAGTTGTTAATGATATTTATTGTCATTAACTGTGTTATAAATAAGTCATTATATGTTAAATAACATTAAAAAATTGAGTTTTGCAGTTACGAAGCCTTGGAAGTAAAGTGAGGGAATACAAATAGTTGCAAAGAAATAACTTGGCAAACAAATAACTTGAATATAATTATTTATTTTAAATCAGATGGTATAGTTATTTAGCTAGTTAAGCAATATTACGAAATTCCCCTTCAAATAAACCTAATTGAAGGGGCATATTTGTAAGCACAAAAAAAGGGAAGAAACCTCACCCAAGATTCACACTTTTATAGATAGTATAGAAAATTGCACGTCACCCCTATAAATTTCTATTTTTCGCACTTTACCCCTCCAAATTTAAAAAAGTGAATGCCCCCTTTCAAAATGTTATTCTTGTTGCACATTATCCCTATAGCAAAATTCTGATGGATTATTTATCGGAATGGACTTTTTTTGTTGCACGTTACCACTTTAAATGTTATTTTTGTTGCACTTTGCCCATAAAAATATTATTTTTCTGCACATTGCCGATTTAAAATGTTATTTTTGGTGCACGATGTCCACTGGTAATTGGCTTTTGGAGCAAAGGGCAACTAAAACAATAATTCGAAGTGGGTAGATCCCTTTGTAGAATTTTTAGGGGTGAAAATGCAAGAATGGAAAATTTATAGAGAGTGAAGTGCATTTTGTCCCTTTTTTTTCAAAAAAAAAAAAAAATTGTCATGAAGTATTTGAAGTGTATCTGCATATTTTTTATTATCTGGAAAAAGATATAATTAGTTCCCTAATAAATAAACAATTACATAAACCAACACATCTTCGATTCCTAAAAATCGTACGCATGTGGCTATGCTTCAATATGAGGATGTTCAGATATTCACATCCAACTCCAAGCATCTCTATTTTCATACATACATATTCAGACCGCACACTTGGCAAAACCTCATTGGTCAAAAGAAAACACTCACACATCTCGTGAGATTCTTACATCCTCATGTCTCCAAATTCAAAGAGGATTAGTGGTGATAGCCGTTGCCAAATATACATATATGCCACCTAGACCAATAGCAATCTGGATAATGATATTTAGATAATTATTAGGACCCTCGCTCATATAAATTAAACATTCTTTGCAAATACATATTCTTTCATTTCATAATACAATAATGGCTGCCTCTTCAAGTTCAATGGCGTTGTCTTCTCCATCTTTCGCCGGACAGGCAGTGAAGCTCTCTCCCGAAATCACCGCCAACTACAGCCGTGTCTCAATGAGGAAAACCGCCGCAAAGCCGAAGCCTGCGTCATCCGGCAGCCCATGGTACGGCCCAGACCGTGTCAAGTATTTGGGTCCATTCTCCGGGGAGGCACCTAGCTACCTCACCGGTGAGTTCCCAGGTGACTACGGGTGGGATACAGCTGGACTTTCGGCTGACCCCGAAACATTCTCCAAGAACCGTGAGCTTGAAGTGATCCACTCAAGATGGGCCATGCTTGGTGCTCTTGGTTGCGTCTTCCCCGAGCTTTTGGCCCGCAACGGTGTCAAGTTCGGTGAGGCTGTTTGGTTCAAGGCCGGATCACAAATCTTCAGTGAGGGTGGCCTCGACTATTTGGGCAACCCAAGCTTGGTCCATGCTCAGAGCATATTGGCCATTTGGGGTGTCCAAGTTGTTTTGATGGGAGCTATTGAGGGCTACAGAATTGCCGGTGGGCCCCTCGGTGAGGTTGTTGACCCACTTTACCCGGGTGGTAGCTTTGACCCATTGGGCCTTGCTGAGGACCCCGAAGCCTTCGCTGAGCTCAAGGTAAAAGAGCTAAAGAACGGCAGACTTGCAATGTTCTCCATGTTCGGATTCTTTGTTCAGGCTATTGTCACCGGAAAGGGCCCACTCGAAAACCTTGCCGACCATCTTGCCGATCCCGTTAACAACAATGCCTGGGCCTTTGCCACTAACTTCGTACCCGGAAAGTGAGCTCAAGTTAGGATAATGTGAGCCCACAAATTGTGTTCTTAATTTTTCCGTGTAAATGAATTATTAGTTGTCACCATTAATGCAATGCCTCTAGTGTAAATGGGTTGAATATCTTAGTTTTTTTCTAATATCTCTGTTAAATTTGTTACTTAAACTATAAAGTTTTAAAAGAATCAATATCAAGTTCCTAAATCTTTTTGTTCAACAAGTAATATTATAATCTTGTGGTCTTCATGGTACCACCAAATGAAAGCTAAGGGTTAACATACTCCACCCCACCCATGTAAATTAAGGTAATAAGATCCTCCCCACCGCAACTAATGCACGCATATCTCTGTTATATTACATACTCTTTACTTGAACAAAAACCCGAAATTAAATTAACCAATCCACCCACTTGCAAACTGGATTTGATCCTCGGAAAATTAAAACCCAATCTTCGAAGATGGGAAATTGTTGGGGTTTTGGGAATTCGAAGATGGGAAAATGGGGGTTTATTATGTAGTCATGGATTTGTTGTATGGAGATATGAGAGAAATAGAGATAATGAGGTTTTCTAACTCATCTTCCAGCTCAATTTTGACTGCCACATGGAACTCACGTGTGGCGCACATGACCACTCCGTCTAAGTTCACATGAAACTTCACCTTGTATATGTGTTTTTATTTGCCTCTCTCGCAACTGAATTAAGCTGAACTATGGAGCTTGTGTTAGAAACTTGTCGTACATACATACGAATTCCCAAGAACCAACATGCTTGAATCAACGAGAATTAAACATAAACATAAACACAATTCCTTATTTTTCTCTCTAACGATGGATTTTAGAAGAGATGGAATAATTGCGTTGCTTTGAGAACCATGAGCCTTTATATAACTGTAGAGTCCAGTTATATTATAACTGTGATTTAGCCCCATCAATAAATCACAATTAAACCTAACTGTCTCTACACATTAGGCCCATAATTATAGTCTAATACCCAGTCCAACCCAATAATCTTTATTAGATCACAATTAATTTGGACTTTCTTTTAGATAGTCATACACATTTACGTCACATATGTGAACCCACATAATTATTGAAATAATTTCAACAATCTCCCACTTGGGCCACATATGCTATATACCTTATAAATGTGTACACCTTATGAGCTCAAATATTGCTATCATATAAAAAGGTATTCCTTACAATCTCGTCCATTGACCATACTAATATAGGACTAAAGAGAAAAAGAAAAACGTCTTCATCTTGTTCCAGCAGTCAGCCCTGGATTTTGAGAACCCATGGCCCGAAACCTCCGAACAAACCACCGACATAACCCTCTGCAATTCCAAGGATGACCGCTGCCGCCACACCAATCTCACCGCCCACCGGCGCACACCCGATCTCATCGCCCAGCATCGCACACCTCCGCTGCGGCCTGGGGCGGCCTCAATTGTGAGAAGATCATCTAATCCTCCATTCATTGGAAGAAGATCTAGTCGATTCGGAGGAAGAAATCGAGAGAAATAAGTGTTCATATAACCTGAATTGGGGAAGGGAGAAATTAAATGAATATTTTTGACCTAATTTTAGGTCCAATTTCAGTCAATTAAAATGAGCTAGGATTAAATGTGTTCATAATATAAACTTTAGAATGTAATGTGTCCATTGTCGAAAAATCTCGCTTGGGGTTGTGGGCGGCGGATCTGAAGACAATATGGTGGTGGTGGTGAGCTTGGTAGTTGTGCAAGAGGTCGGAGCTGGTTCCTGGTGGTGAGCGGCGGACGACTGCAACATGATAAAAATGGTTGATGAAAGTTGTGAGTTGGGTGAGTAGGATGGGCTGGTGTGCGTGGAATGGGTAGCTGCTGGGATTGGGAACAAGATAAAGGCACCTTTTTTTTTAATTATTCGATTTGACATTTATTCCATTTTAAAAATGGAAAAGACGTCAGTAGCATTAGATTTGTCATGTGCAACGCGCGTGGGTTGAGAATCAATCATTTTGATCCGAAAATAGGTAAAAAAAAGGGTAAGTGGCATAATTAATTGAGTACAAGTGAACTCGTGCAAAATAGAATTTGTTCGTTTGGTGATCCGCAAAACCTTAAAAAATTTAAATGGTTTAATTCTATTTACCCTTTAAATTAATTATTTAATTAAAATATAGTCGGGGTTAAATTAGATAATTCGATGTTAATCTATTTTATATTGGTTTAATAGAAAAAAATTAATCGAAGGCTACTTTGGTAAATGATTCATTAATTGTAACACCATCCATGTTATTTTCCTAGACTCGAGATCTAATCTTATAAGATTAACGGTGATTCGAGCATATCTCATATGAGTTTCAAACACGAAATACCTTTAGACCAACTCATTAAAATAATATTGAAATCAAAATTAATTGTATAACTATCTTTAAATATTATACTTCCCAAACATGCATGCCCACTACTTCCCAAAATCAAAGACAAAAAAAAAAAAAAAAAAATGTCCTGCGCAATCTT